TTTGGAGGATTTTTTGGAGGGGCGTGCCCCTAGATACTCCAATGCCGGAGCTAGCCCGCGGGCCGGGGGTTGAATATCGGGGGCCTAAAGTATCACGACATATAATTATGGAGGTATAAAACTAAATTACATATAATCGGTATCTTTATTCAAAAAATTCTTTCATAAAAAAATACATTAGTAGCCAAAAGCTGAATTGGTGTATTTTGTACAAAAGGAAAACAAGAACGAGAAACGTCAAAAACATTACATTAAAACAAATTACCTCCATGATATATGTTTTTAGTTACATTCCATTTTGTGAAGTTTTGTTTATTGATGTAAATAGACGCACCAATATGTTTGGTTTTATTTGACACTAGACGTGTTGGTGTGTCTGTCCACGTCAATGAATTAACCTGAAGTTTAATTTTATTGATGTGAAATGACTGGGTAACACACACACACACACACACAAATAAAGAAAACTTTTCTGTATTTTGCAATTTTTCCAGGAATATTAATGTATTATGCCATCGGTTTAATTGTATGATCTAATTTTTGTTGTATTTCATTGTAGGCAATTTTTAGTTGAAGATATTTTTCTTATTTTTCTTATGCTTATTTAAGTTTTTTTTTGATATACATGGACGCACAAATACTTTGTCTTGTGCGTACCACTGTTGTTAATGTGAGTTCCAATAAATATCGATCAGTATACTGCTAATGCTGCTGTTGAACTGAATGTTCCTAATAGATCAACTGAGGGCAGCAGATAGGAATTTATGATTTGTGTTTCCAATATTATTTTCGTAGGATATCAATTGCTCGATGATAAGTGACGAAATGCCTTCTACAAAACTAATTTACCTTAACAGATACGGGATATGAAATCTCTGTAGCCATCAAGAGAAGAAAAGTTAAGTATAATTATTTAATATATACGCAACCCCTTCTCTCCGTGAGTTGCTTGTACGTAGGTAGTGTACCAATACAGTACACTGTTGTAAGGTAGAATGTTTAGTATTGTTGTAGACGGGTTGTGCTATTCGTGGATTGTTTATTTTACCAAAGAAAAACAAGTTTCCGATTTCTTAAATATGTACAGACTTTATGAAACTATTTGTATTGCTGAAGGGTAAATATAGACTTATGGGACTGACAGTATTTCTAATCATTCTAAACCTTTTAGGCCAACCCAGGCAGCATCGTACGACACAGCCCGACGCAATACGTGAGTCAAACTCAGACACAATAGATCTGCGCCTGAGACAGTCGTGTCATATAATATTAAACATATTTAATATATTTCAGTAGGCCTATATTAATACTGTCCCTAGACGACAAATCGCGTCGGGCTGCGTCGTACGATACTGTCTGAGTTGGCCTTAATACACCAGGAAACACTATTTCCGAGTTTTAGTCTAGGGTTGGACTACTTTGTTCACCCTCACATCTTTATCGGTATATATTCCTTATTGATCATTGGATTTTTACCATGGTTATTTTTTTCAAGTTAAGTAAGCATTACATTCGTCTGGTGTAGCCTATATATATA